GGCCCTGAGTAAAAGGGCCTCTGTCCCCAGCAGCGGCAGGGTTTTAGAGGAGGGGACTGGGCAGGCGAGGGGGGGAGAGAGGGGCCAGAGGGCAGCATGGCCGCAGCGCGCACTCCCTGGAGGAGAGAAACCTGGTCGGGGTCGCACCGCTGTCCCCTCACCCCCACTCTGGGGAATGGCCATCCGCCAGTGGCCAATGGCCCCGGCCCTCCTGGATCTTAGGGTACAAACCAGATGGTTCAAGACACTGGTAAATGTCCCGGAGAAAGTAGATTGTGGTGATAGACCATATAGATGGGGCAGGTGGGATTTGCAGGATAGCTTGGGAAGGACTTTATGAGGAGGGGCCTTTTGAACCAAGACCAGTATGATGCTGGGGCCGCGACTGGGTAAGTGGGTGGGCCGCGCATCTTCAGGGAAGGCCGGGCACCAGGCCTGGTGGGAGACGGACCCACCCGGGCTCAGGGACAGAGAGAAGGTGTGGCTGGAGCCTCAGAAACGTGGGGCTGCATGATGGGGGTGCAGGTGCACGTACGTGGGGCAGAGGCTGTGTTCTCACCGACGAGGTCCCAGGACCCCCCAGTACCAGTCCCCACCAGCTCCTCCACCCTCCACCCTCCTGCCGCAGGAGGGGAGATGACGCTACATGCTTTTCGCTGCTACTCAGAATGGTCCCTTGCCGCGCTGTACCTCCTGCCACGGCGTGGCCCCCTCTCCTTTCAAGTCCACAGCAGGCCAGACACAGGACCAGGTGCGTCATAGGCGTCCGTGTGTATTGCGTGCATGTGTGTCAGTGATTTAGCTTGGATGCAGCGTTTTAGAACAAAACAAAATTAACCTCCAGGGCTCTTGGGGCTCTCAGAGGCTGTCCCGGACTGGGGTCATTCTCTTTCAGCCAAGAGTCAGGAAAACACAGAAAAGTAGAAAAGGCAACCACTGTTAGTTACAGTTCACTTTACATTTACAAGAAGAAGAAGGAGAAGGAGAAGGAGAAGAAGAAGAAAGAAGGAGAAGAAGAAGAAGAAGAAGAAGAAGAAGAAGAAGAAGAAGAAGAAGAAGAAGGAGGAGAAGGAGAAGGAGAAGGAGAAGGAGAAGGAGAAGGAGAAGGAGAAGAAGAAGAAAGAAGGAGAAGAAGAAGGAAGAAGAAGGAAGAAGAAGCAGCAGCAGCAGCCTGGAGAAATATTGGAAAGGAAATACACGAAAATGTGAAAGCCTGGCAAAAATGATTATGCCCATCATCTCTTGGCTGTATGAGAGTCCATAGAATTGATGAATCCTAGTTTATAAAACACGCACCCTACTGTTGAATTTTTAAGTGATCTCCAAGTCTTCCATTATTAAAAAATAAATTTGGCAATTACACAGCTCTGCACATCCCCACCCCCAACGGTATTCTTAGAGGCCCAGGAGGGCTTCGCAGGAAACACCGCTACTGAGTGAAAAAGTATAAATGTTTTTATTTTTTTATTATTTTTAATGTTTTATTTATTTCTGAGAGAGAGAGAGAGACAGCATGAGCAGGGGAGGGTCAGAGAGAGAGGGAGACACAGAATCTGAAACAGGCTCCAGGCTCTGAGCTGTCAGCACAGAGCCCGACGCGGGACTCGAACCCACGAACCGTGAGATCATGACCTGAGCCCAAGTCGGACGCTCAACCGACTGAGCCACCCGGGCGCCCCAGTATAAATGTTTTTAAACTTACTGATACTTAATGGCCAAACCATGAGCCATCCATGCAAGAGCTGCCGGGGGATTTGTGAGGCGGCCCCTGCCCACCCCCCCGCCCCCGGGCTGCGGCCGGGCGCCCTGCACCTGTGCGGGGAGCCCCTTGTCCGCGCCGCCCGTGCAGGCGTCTCCCAGCAGCGGGAAGCAAGCACCCAGCCACACAGCGAGCAGCGGCCGTGACCTCGTCATGAAAATTCAGCCAGACGGTTAGGAATTGACTGCGGGCATCTCCATCTGGAGAAGCGTGGTTTGGTCACTTTCGTTTCACGGGAGGGGGAGGCGGAGACCACTGTGCACTCGGGGACTGACTTCTGTTCCAGAAACTGTAGGACTCGCTCACGCCCAGCCTGACAACTCAGGCTCCAGAATGCAGGACACCGCACCTGCCGATGTTCCACCGTTAAGGGGACACGGGTATGACACGTACGCGCCCTTGGGAGGCGAGGCTCCGGGCTACTTACCTACAGCCGTGGAAACGGAAGGCGAGCACCCAACGCCGCTGTGCCCGCCACGCGTCTGGGTGTCACGGCAGCCGCTGGCCACGTGTGTGGAAGCTTCTGTTCGCCCGGACAGAGCACTCCTAACGGGTGCACCCGCCCGCCTCCGGCCCCTCCAGCCCCACCCCTCCTCAGCTCCTCTCCAGCCCTTTCCAGCACCTCCCTGTTGCCTCAGGAAAGCGAGCGGCGCGGCCCCGTCCTCACCCCGGCTGCTCGGCCCCCCGTCGGGCCGCGCCCTGTGTCAGCCCCCGTCCTCCAGGGGGACGGGATTTGGTCCCTGCGCGGCAATCAGGGCTAGAGGAAGCCCCCCCCCCCCCGCTGTCCGCGCCCCCCGCCGGTTCCCTGGGAGGGACCTTGACAAGCCAGAAGCCCGCCCTCCCCAGACACGGGGCGCGCGGGCGCCTGGGTCCTGAGGCCGCGGCCTCCGGGGCGGGCGTCGTGCTGCTCTGCGCTCCCCGTGCGGCCCCCGCGGCGCCCCGGCCCTGCCCGCCCCTGCCCTGCCCCGCCCCTGCCCTGCCCCGGCCCTGCCCGCCCCTGCCCCCACAGCCCGCCCCTGCCCTGCCCCGGCCCCTGCCCTGCCCCGGCCCCTGCCCGCCCCTGCCCCGGCCCCGCCCCTGCCCCTGCCCTGCCCCGCCCCTGCCCGCCCCGAGGCCGCCGCGAAGCCCGGAAACACCGGCGGCGGCATGAGGCTGCGGTCTGTGGCCTGTTGTCACGGGCGTGCGGCCGCCGGCGGTAACTGGGTGCGATTCGTCCCCACGACCGGGAGCCCCCCACTCCCCACAGGGCGCTGATTCCACCGGGTCCGGCGCGGCGCTCGACGGTGTGTGTGTGTGTGTTCAGTGTGTGCTCTGTGTGCGCTGTGTGTGTGCGTGTGCGCGCTGTGTGTACGCTGTGTGTGTGCTGTGTACGCTGTGTGTGCTCTGTGCGCATGTGTGTGCTCTGTGCGCATGTGTGTGTGCTGGGTGTGTGCCCTGTGTGTGCCCTGTGTGCTGTGTACGCTGTGTGTGCAGCGCTGCTGTCCCCACAACGGCGTGCTTGCTCGGCAGCTCGGGAGGGAGACCCCGTCCCTCTCACTGGACTGTGTGCTGTGTCGAGCCACAGCCTCTCTGAGCTCTGCTTGTGCGTCTGCAACAGAAAACACCCGATGCCGCGCGGCTTCCCCGCACCCCTGGCAGGGGCCCTGACGAGGGGTCTCCCGCCCTGCAGGCACTGTGGACACGCGCCTTCCGTTCCCACCCC